AGCTGAAGCGCGATATAGCGGGGGCGCGATAGCTGAACCGCGTTATAGCGGGGGCGCGATAGCTGAACCGCGATATAGCGGGGGCGCGATAGCTGAACCGCGATATAGCGGGGGCGCGATAGCTGAACCGCGATATAGCGGGGGGCGCGATAGCTGAAACGCGATATAGCGGGGGCGCGATAGCTGAACCGCGATATAGCGGGGGCGCGATAGCTGAAACGCGATATAGCGGGGGCGCGATAGCTGAACCGCGATATAGCGGGGGCGCGATAGCTGAACTGCATTATAACGGGGGCGCGACAGCTGAACCGCGATATAGCGGGGGATCGCTGTAGTTTTGTATACTAGTAAGGTACAGATTACAACTTCATTTCATTCTTTTACATATTTTAAAAGCTGAAGTTTTTACTGATATGTCTTTTAATTATTACATCTGTAGGCTGGTATAGTTGCTCCTCTGTTGAAGTTTCAGTAAGAAATCTGCTGGTCACATGTTCATTTCTGGCCTGTAGACGACGTCCCACAGGGTAGCAGGGTGTCCCTGCACATGCAGCTGCTGGGCCACCGTCTGCTGCTATGGCTGCGCTAACTGCTACTGTACCCATCGGACAGGTGACCAAGGAGGACAAGTCCTTTCAGAACATAATGAGGTGCTACAGGACGCAGCCGCAGGCCAACAGCAGTGTAAGAGCGGCACCGACGAGCTGGGGGTGTGGGGGGGTGTGGTGCTTACAGGTGCCGCCTTGCAGGCCGTGTGTGTCAGAGCGATCAGCACAGTCACATGTCCTGTTCCTGTGCTGGGGGGGTGGTGAGGTGTGGTGGGACAGTGCTGGATCTGAGTGACACCGTTTCACCCACCCCCAGGTGTACAGAAGTGTCCTGATCTCAGGAAGGAGCAGGAGTCACTCTGGGAGCAGTGAGCACGATGGGCGGCAGACGTCTCCCGGCGAGAGCGGCACCCGAGAGCGCAGTGAGAGAGCTGCTGTAACCACACAGGCACAGACACGTACAGGCACACACACAGATACACAGACACAGACACACAAAGATACAGATACACACACAGAGAGACACACGCACAGGCACACACATACACTCACCTAAAGGATTATTAGGAATACCTGTTCAATTTCTCATTAATGCAATTATCCAATCAACCAATCACATGGCAGTTGCTTCAATGCATTTAGGGGTGTGGTCCTGGTCAAGACAATCTCCTGAACTCCAAACTGAATGGGAAAGAAAGGTGATTTAAGCAATTTTGAGCGTGGCATGGTTGTTGGTGCCAGACGGGCCGGTCTGAGTATTTCACAATCTGCTCAGTTACTGGGATTTTCACGCACAACCATTTCTAGGGTTTACAAAGAATGGTGTGCAAAGGGAAAAACATCCAGTATGCGGCAGTCCTGTGGGCGAAAATGCCTTGTTGATGCTAGAGGTCAGAGGAGAATGGGCCGACTGATTCAAGCTGATAGAAGAGCAACTTTGACTGAAATAACCACTCGTTACAACCGAGGTATGCAGCAAAGCATTTGTGAAGCCACAACACGCACAACCTTGAGGCGGATGGGCTACAACAGCAGAAGACCCCACCGGGTACCACTCATCTCCACTACAAATAGGAAAAAGAGGCTACAATTTGCACGAGCTCACCAAAATTGGACAGTTGAAGACTGGAAAAATGTTGCCTGGTCTGATGAGTCTCGATTTCTGTTGAGACATTCAAATGGTAGAGTCAGAATTTGGCGTAAACAGAATGAGAACATGGATCCATCATGCCTTGTTACCACTGTGCAGGCTGGTGGTGGTGGTGTAATGGTGTGGGGGATGTTTTCTTGGCACACTTTAGGCCCCTTAGTGCCAATTGGGCATCGTTTAAATGCCACGGCCTACCTGAGCATTGTTTCTGACCATGTCCATCCCTTTATGACCACCATGTACCCATCCTCTGATGGCTACTTCCAGCAGGATAATGCACCATGTCACAAAGCTCGAATCATTTCAAATTGGTTTCTTGAACATGACAATGAGTTCACTGTACTACAATGGCCCCCACAGTCACTAGATCTCAACCCAATAGAGCATCTTTGGGATGTGGTGGAACAGGAGCCTCGTGCCCTGGATGTGCATCCCACAAATCTCCATCAACTGCAAGATGCTATCCTATCAATATGGACCAACATTTCTAAAGAATGCTTTCAGCACCTTGTTGAATCAATGCCACATAGAATTAAGGCAGTTCTGAAGGCGAAAGGGGGTCAAACACCGTATTAGTATGGTGTTCCTAATAATCCTTTAGGTGAGTGTACAAGCACACATAGACACGCACACACAGACAGACACACAAAGATACACACAGGCACGCACACACATACACGCAAGCATACGCACACACATAAATATACACACAGAGACACACACACAGATTAGGTGTCTATATCTTTGTGGGGACTCTGCATTCATTTCTATGGGCATACCCCTAATCCTAACATGACAACCTTAACCCCCACCCAGCCCAAACCTTAACCATAAGCAACCATTTAGTTTTTTGATTGAATTCACAGATTTCTATAAAATTGAGTTTCAAAATTGAGTTTTTATTACATTGTGGAGACATTTGGTCCCCAGAATACAATATTTACATGCCCACAGAAACACACACACACACACACTCACTGGCTGTGCTCTATGTCTCTCTGAAGCCAGTGGTGCTGTCTGTCTGTCTTTCTGTCCGGGATCCAGTCTGCTGACTGTCAGTGTGATACATGTTATACTACTTGGCTGTCTGTCTGCCTGTGTGTGTCTGCCTGTCTGTCTGTCTGTGTGTGTGTGTCTGCCTGTGTCTCCCTGCCTGTCTGTCTGCCTGTGTGTGTCTGTCTGCCTGCCTGTGTCTGTCTGCCTGTGTGTGTCTGTCTGCCTGTCTGTCTGCCTGTGTGTGTCTGTCTGCCTATCTGTCTGCCTGTATGTGTCTGTCTGCCTGTGTCTCCCTGTCTGTCTGTCTGCCTGTGTGTGTCTCCCTGCCTGTCTGTCTCCCTGTGTGTGTCTCCCTGTCTGTCTGTGTGTGTCTGTCTGCCTGTGTCTGTCTGCCTGTCTGTCTGCCTGTGTGTGTCTGTCTGCCTGTCTGTCTGCCTGTATGTGTCTGTCTGCCTGTGTCTCCCTGCCTGTCTGTCTGCCTGTGTGTGTCTGTCTGCCTGTGTCTGTCTGGCTGCCTGTGTGTGTCTGTCTGCCTGTGTCTCCCTGCCTGTCTGTCTGTCTACCTGTGTCTCCCTGCCTGTCTGTGTGTGTCTGTCTGCCTGTGTCTCCCTGCCTGTCTGTCTGTCTGCTGTCCTTATTACTGTCTTTGTACCTGTCTGCCTGTCCTGGCTGCTGCCTGAGGTCTGTGTTACTGCCTGCAGATGGCAGTCCTGTGCCTGTGCGTTCCAGCAGCACGCTGCCCACCCCCCGGCCTGAGAGTGCCCCTGCGACGCCTGCGCGACTCACCGGCGCCCCCACAGGGACTCAGGAGGAAGAGGAGCATGGCGATCTCATCAGTTTCTACAACAGTGTCTACGTCAAACAGATGCGCAGTTTTGCGTTGCGCTACTCCAGTGGCTCGTGGGCCACACAGGGGGTGAGTCACAGGCAGGGGGTGAGTCACAGGCAGGGGTGAGTCACATCCAGGGCCTTTTCCCACAGGCTTTAGGTATGATCATGGGCTTGGAACTGTAGTTGTTTTCAGGTAGTTGACCAGAAGTGCTCCAGCAACATTGCAACTAAGAAAATGGGTGAAATGGGTGTAATAATATTATTAAAAATAATAATAAAAAAATAATTATAATAATGATAAATGTCAGCCCCTGCCCCCCCACTCCCAGTTAAGCAGTTAATCCATGTAGTTCACACCCTGTTGCCTGCATAGACCTCATTAATTACAACCCCCCAGGTCTTGTGGGTTTCATAACTCATGGTCAGGGGATGTACTTACCATCATTATCACTTATCACTTTAAAGTGGCTACAGCTCTTCCATGTACGCGCCAGTGCCCCCTGGTGGCGTGGAGGTGGTGCGTGGTGCTGACGCACTCCACAGTGCCCCCTGGTGGCGTGGTGCGTGGTGCTGACACGCTCCATAGTGCCCCCTGGTGGCGTGGGGGTGGTGCTGACGCGCTCCATCCTAATCA